CAGCCATTGATTGTTGATAATTTTTATCATCTTTGCTAATTTGTTTGGATTTGTATTTCTTTTGTTATTAGTTATTTGGAGCTTTTTAAAAAAATTTATTTTTAGTTTTCATCATTCACTTCCATAAGATTTTTGAGTTTTAAATTTTCTCCCCTCCCCCCTTCCCCAAGGTGGTATGCAATCTGAAGTAGGCTCTATGTATACATTCCTATGAAACACATTTTCACATTAGTCATGTTGTAAAGAAGAATTAGAACCAGTGGGAGGAACCATGAGAAAGAAGAACCAAAACAAAGCAAAAAAAAAAAAAGAGAGAGCAAATAGTATGTTTCAAATCTGCATTCAGATTCCATAGTTCTTTCTCTGGATGTGGATAGCATTTTTCATTGTGAGTCTTTCGGCGACCTCAGATGCTTGAATTGCTGAGAAGAGCTAAGTGTATCAATGTTAGTCATCGCATGATATGGCTGTTACTGTGTACAATGTTCTCTTGGTTCTGCTCACTTCGCTCAGCATCAGTTCATATAAGTCTTTCCAGGTTGTCGTGAAATCCACCTGCTTATCATTTCTTATAGCCCAATAGTATTCTGTTACATTCATATATCACAACTTGTTCAGCCATTCCCCAGTTGATGGCACTCCTTCAATTTCCAGTTCTTGGCCACCAGAAAAAGAGCTGCTATAAGTATTTTTGTACATGTGGGTGGAGCATTTTTTAATATGGTCTTTAATTTGCAATTCTTTTGAGACCTATTTTTATCTTAGAACCATTTATATATCTCTCCATAGCTGTGAAAAAGTATATGATCTACTTCTCTTTTAATTTTTTTTGTGGTATGATTTTTGTAATTAAGGTCATGTATTAATTTAGAATGTATTGTAGAATATGATCTAAGCAAGTGATTTATGTGTTACAGTTTATCAGACACTAGGGCATTAAGACAGTGATTTTAGTATGACAAGAAATACCTTTGCTCAAAGTTTGCTTTCCATCCTAATTCCATTTCCCTAAGAAAATCTTTTTGTTCTTGGCCTTCTACACACTTTGAAAGGGAGAAATCTGAAAAGGATTTTTAGAACAGATAAAATATTAAGAAATAATATTTTAGAGAAATCAAAAAGGAGATTTTTAATAGTATTCCATAGTGCGCTTCCTTCCTGTGAGTAGCCTTTTCAGTTTCATTTCCTCATTCCCAGTGTCCTTTCTCAAAGCTGAGAAATGGGGACATTCACCCTTTATATTAATGTCTTTCAGACTTGGAACCTAGGACTGAGACCACAAAGTCAACTCCAAAAGAGAATATTCCAGGAGAAGAGTCATCCCCGGTGGTGAAAGTTGAAAGACCTGGAGGGGCTGACTTTTGCTACTCCACTTTGGGGGAAGGTGTAGATAGTGAGAGCCAGAAAAAGAGGGAGCAAATAAAGGAGGAGAGTGAGGTGAGGAAGTTAACTAAACCTCAGAAGAGTCACACTGGAGCTAAAAGTGATAAATGTAGTGAATATGGGAAAACCTTCAGTCAGTGCTCAAACCTCACTGAAGATCAGAAAATCCAGGCTGATCTGAAGCCTTGTAAATGTCCTGAGTGCGGGCAAGCATTCACTAAAAACTCAGGACTTATTCGACACCAGAGGATTCACACTGGAGAGAAGCCTTATACGTGTAATAAATGTGGAAAAGCCTTCAGACAAGTGTCAGACCTTGTTAAGCACCGGAGGATCCATACTGGAGAGACTCCTTACAAATGTAATGAATGTGAGAAAGCCTTTATTTCTAATTCAGAATTTCATAGGCACAAGAGGACTCATACTGGACAGAAGCCTTACAAATGTCAAGAATGTGGAAAAGCATTCATTGAAAGTTCAGACTTTGTTAAGCATCAGAGAATTCATACTGGAGAGAAGCCATATATATGCAAGGATTGTGGGAAAGGCTTCATTGAGAGCTCTTCCCTTGTGAAGCACCAGAGGATTCATACTGGAGAAAAGCCGTATGTCTGTAAGGAATGTAGGAAAGCATTCACGCAGAAGTCCCACCTGGCACTACATCAGATCATCCATGCTGGAGAGAAGCCTTACTCATGTAATGAATGTGGGAGAGCCTTCACTGAGAGCTCTGCCCTAGCTAAGCACAAGAGAATTCATGCCGGTGAGAAGCCCTATGAATGTAACGACTGTAGGAAAGCCTTCACTCGAAAGTTCAACCTGATCCTACACCAGAGAATGCATACTGGAGAGAAGCCTTACGAATGTAAGGAATGTGGCAAAGCCTTCATTGACACCTCAATCCTGGTTAAGCACCAGAGGATTCATACTGGAGAGAAGCCTTATAAGTGTGATGAGTGTGGGAAGGCCTTCAATCAGAAGTCCCATTTGATCCTACATCAGAGGATCCATACTGGAGAGAAGCCACACAAATGTAATGAATGTGGGAGTGCTTTCACTCAAAGATCAACCCTTGTTAAGCACCAGAGAACTCATACTGGAGAGAAGCCTTATAAATGTGAGGAGTGTGGGAAAGCCTTCGCTAGAAAGGGTCCCCTCATCAGACATCAGAAGGTGCACACTGGAAAGAACACTTAGAAAGAGTGTGGGAATGCCTTCACTAAAAACTCAGACTTGGTTCAACAGCAGAGTTGTGCTTTATTAATGTAATAAACATGGGGAAGCATTCACTCAAAAGTACCCCTTGTTCTTACATCAGAGGAAATGTACTGGAGAGGATGTATAAATGTAATGAATGTCAGAAAGCATTCATTTACAATTTATGCCTTATTGTGTCAGATAATTCGTACTTTATAGATAGCTTATCACTATAATAAAAGTATTTAGAGTTCAGTTCTTTTTTTTTTTCCAGCCAGAGGAAAAGTTTATTAGTGATAAAACACTTAGGGCCAGGTGACGCCCATAAGGATGAGCGGGCATGAGAGGTTCTCAGCCTTTTGAGCTTGAGATTCTCAGCTAGAGTTCAGTTCTTAATGCACATCATAAAATTTAAAGAGAAACTATAAATGTAATATGTATGGCAAGGCCTTCTTGGGTCATTAACCATCAGAGGATTCATAATGGAAAATAGCCTTATAAATGCAATGAATTAGGGAAAGATTTCAGCAACTTCTCACACTCTACTAAACTTCAGCTGACTCATGCTGTAGAGAAGCCTTAAATATAATGTGTGTAGAAAAACCTGTGCAGTTCAAATATTATAAAACTTTAGATAAGAATGAATGAAAAAGCATTTAAGCTCACTAGGTGCCGAGCCCCTGACTAACTGCTGGGTATGCAGATAAAATTACAAGGTGGTTCCTTCTGTCAAGGAGCTCATGCTCTAATTGAGGAAGACAGCACATGTAGAAGAGTTGAGCTGCAGTGAGGTTGGAAAGGCCCAGGGTTTCCTATGGGTCCAATTATTTGGACAGTGGTAAAGCCCAAGGGTTCTTCTGCCTATTAGAGGCTACTCACCATTGTTAGAGATGGGAGAAGGGGTCTAAGGGACAGAGTGGAGAGGGCAGTCTAGGTTTTCTCTGGAGGGGGTGGTTGGAGGTAGAGATTCAGAGCCTGTCTGGGAGAGGCTAAGGGTAAGGGAGCATCAGCAGAAAAGTTGGAAGAGGATTTGGGGTGAGAAAGGGGAAAACTTGGTCCTGGTGGGCACTGATCCCCACTGGGGTCCTTCAGGAACTTCAGGATGAAGTCTGGTGCCTCTTGCCAGTGGAGGGAGGAAAAAGAATGAGAGGAGTCATACTGGTGTAAGTTCACAAAGATGTCATAAATATTTGAAGGTTTTCTTACACAATATAGCTAGATACCAGTTAGTGCAATTAATGGCTATTGTGAAGTAGTTGCATGTATTCAGATTAACACTATTTGAATTCCTAATTATGTAAGAGGTGGAGTTGATTCCAGTGGAAATATGAAGTACATATTCAGATTGTGAGACTGCTTCACGGAATTCGTTCTTTGTAGTAATTGGTTCCTGGTTGTACAAACTTTACCTGAATCACAGGATTCATAACAGAAGAAAAACTAGCCATTTCAAATTTAATCTAACCATATGTGTATCCATTAATATTTTCCCTGTAATTTCTTGATCCATTGTATAACTCATTTTCATTTAATGAAGCACTTCAGAACATTCACTTTTGTTATAATTAATAAATTCAGATTGACTTCTGACGTTTGCTTGGAGAGAGTGAAATCACTCTTAAGCTTCCATGTTCCTGGACACTAGAATTCCATTTTCTGAGCATACTCATTCTATTTTTCCTTATGTCTGATGACCCCTGTTCCTATTTTTCATCCTCACATTTACTTTTCCATCAGGAAAATTCTCTTGGAGATGACTCCTCTTTAGCTGAGGCTTCATTGGATTGAGGGATTGAATGAGTTGGATCTGTGGAGGGAGAACATTCTAGCCTTGGGGGACAGAGGGCCTCCGCAAAGGCTAGGAGACAGGAGGTGAAATGTGGTTGATAGGGAACAACATTGACACCATTTTGATGGGAATATAGAACATGGGAAAGGGAGTAATGTGAAGTTAGTCTGGAAAGTTTAGTAGGTGACAGAGTGATGGATTCTAATGTCAAACCAAGGAATGTTTTTGTTTATTTTAAAGGCAGTAGGGTGCCAGTGACACTTAGTTCCCCTGTGACATCACTTGACTTGACCATCATACCACATGGCAAGCTCCCTGTTACATCACCAAAAATGCCCAAATCACTATCCAAACCCCCCATTTCTTCAACTCGAACTCTGCCATGACTTCAGCCACTATATCTCAGCCATCCTCATCGTGCTCCCCTGGCAGCACCTGTAAGTTATGTCCCCTTCCCCCCTAAAGACATCACTAGTTATGCCCATTGGATATTACATCATCCCTAGTCAATGGGTTTGGGATCTGGACTCTGGAAATTTCAGTGCTGAGTGAAGGACACAGTCCAGTCACTGTCTGTAATGATGACAAATCCTGTTTTCCTTGATTTCTCTTCAAGGTGTCTTTGAATCTGGTAGCCTCACTCTTCATTTCCCACAGCCTCTCAGGGTTGTCCTCATCTCCTGTAGCCAGCATCAACTCGTTGATAGGATCTTCTCTGGACTGCTTCCTATGAAAACATTTGGGAGCACGGTAAGAAATCCCATGTACTGGCATAGGGAGTTCCATCTGACCTGATTTCCAAGTTGTGTAAGATCCATGCAGATCTCTTGGCAGAAATACAGAGGGGAAAATGTTTTATAAGTTCTTTTCCTGTGTGGATGCAGATCAAGAAATCCGGGTAGATCAGCTCTATAAAATTTGAGTATTGTAAACACCGCCACCACCAGTAGAAGCAGATGGGGTGGTCCTGGCTCTGGTCTTCCTTTGTATACTCTTATGATAGAAACAACCCATTTAGAGGGGTGTGGGAGGTGCCAAGAAGGCGGTGTAACTAGCATGGCATGGGATGATGCCATGGGGGGCATGATGAGAATGATTGAGATGTGGTGGTGGAAGTTATGGCAGAGGGTGAGCTGAAAAAATGGAAGGAGGGGAGGTGGTAGATAACAATTTGGGCCTTTTTTGGTGATGTAATAGTTGCCTTGTCATGTGGTGTGATGGTTAAATCAAATGAAATGAGAGCATAGAGAGGTCATGGGTAATGTCACAGGGGCAAAGCCCATCAGCCAATGTGGAAGCTAACTAGTAATGGGGCAGAGATTTAGCATTTATCCCTTCCTTCCCTGCCCTTCCCCAGCATGCCCTCTTTCCCCCAGAGTTCCTAGGGAGGGTCAAGTCCTAGACTGTGGCCAGGAGTACAGGGAGATACTTCCTATCACCCCTGTCACAGAGACAGGCTATGTACATGAGGAGGTGGTGACCTGTTTGTGACCTGCCTGTGTGGGGCTTTGGACCTTGATGAGGATCCCTGACTGTGTAGGGTGTGTTATCTTTGCGGTAGGCAGGCCTGGTATTGCTGGCACTGCTCCCACTCACCGTGATGTATATGTAGACATGAAGAGACTCACTGTGAGTTGCTAGGACCATTTAGATCCAGGATTCATTGCTTGAAGGGAAGAAGTGAAGCCTGGAGTAAACTGCTCTTCATTCTCCTAAGTGACTTGCCCAGAGTCACACAGCTAGTGAGTGTTATGTGTCTGAGGCTGGATTTGAACTCAGGTCCCCCTGACTCCAAGGCCAGAGCTCTATGTACTGTGCCACCCAGCTGCCCCTCTATTATTACATCTTAAGGGGCCTAAGCTTTTGGTATGATTTTTTTTTTGTTTGATAGTTTTTCCCCTTCTTGGTCATATTTTTCTTGTGTCCTCAAGGTCAGGATTGTCCAGTAAAAGCCCCCCAAAAAGGCTGGACTCAGGAAGTTTCTTATTTAGTTGTTTTTCAGTCACATGACCCTTGTGACCCAATTTGGGGTTTTCTTGGCAGAGATGCAGGAGTAGTTTGCCATTTCCTTCTCCATTGTCCCCATTTGACAGATGAGGAAACTGAGGCCAGCAGGTTTAAGTGACTTGCCCAGTCACTTACTAAGTGTCTGAGGCTAGATTTGAACTCAGGAAGAGTTTTCCTGATTCCAGGCTCAGCACTCCCCACTGAGCCACCCAGCTGTCCCTGGACTCAGGAAGACTTGAGTTCAGCCTTGAGTATTTACCTCAGTTTCCTCAGTTACAAAATGGAGATAATAACAGTGTCTACCTCCTAGGATTGTTTTGAGGGTCAAATGAGATAATATTTGTAAAGCGCCTGGCACGTGGCAGGCTCACTCCCTTCTCCTTCCCTAAAGCCATTTAAGTAGGAGAAGGTCCATTTAAAAGGCCATTGCCACACCGTGCAGTCTGCTTTTGGGCCAAGATCCTGGTCTCTCTCTCTAGAACTCTGGGCCCAATCCTCCAGCATGCTTCCTACACTACCCACCATTTATACAACAGTCATTTACATTGCTTTTGCTCCTTTGTGTTGTTTTGTTTTTCACTGTTTTTCTGGTTCTCTTGTTTGAACGTGGGTTGGAGGAGGGTCCTAGGAAGGGGCAGATCTGTACATCACTGCTTTGGGGGTAGATCCTGAGTGTCCTGTTTGGGTGGGTTAAAATCGGAGAAGCTCTGCTCAATCTGGACCTCAGAAAGGAAATGATGATCTTGGGAAATTATTTGGCGGAAATGCTGAGGAAAGGAGAGAATGACCAAACTGTTGGGGTATACAGGTGAGCAGAGACCAGTCTCCAAGAGGCTCCGCCCCCCAACTCCTTACCTGCTGCTCCTTTCCCGTTGCCAGCAGACATGCCCAGCTCACCCATATATTCAAGGCTCTATCACTTCGTGCAAACTCATTTCCCCAGGAAACAAGGTAAGCCAACAAACATTTTGCTGAGTTGCTACTGTGTGTGATGCAGTGTGCTAGGTGCAGAGAATACAAGTAGAAATCATGAAACAATCATTACTTAAAAGTTTTTCTTCTCATGGGGCAGACAGTACTTACAGACACAGAGTGAGTGTGAGTGTGAAAATACAGCAACGTACAAAGCAGTTCCAGTCTAGGCATATTGCCTCTGGTCTACACACATTGCCTCCTGTTTCTTACCTCCCTCTCGCCTTTTTTCACCTAGCTTTCAAATGTGTTACTCATTTTTGGATGGATTGTAAGTGATTCCTCTATGGAAAGGAGAGTTAGCAGAGTACATTTCCATGAATGGGGAGTGGATTTGCTGACATCTGTAGAAGGGTAAAAACCTGGGGAAATCACCTAAACGTTGGAGTTCAGTTCTTGTTTTGTTTTGTTTTGTTTTTGGATAGGCAGTGGGGTTAAGTGACTTGCCCAGGGTCACACAACTAGTGTTATGTGTCTGAGGTCAGATTTGAACTCAGGTCCTCCTGAATCCAGAGCTGGTGCTCTACCCACTGCTCTACCTAGCTGCCCCCCCTTTTTTGTTTTTTGTTTTGTTTTGTTGTTTTTGGAATTCAGTTCTTTATGTCCCTTGTACACAATTAAAAAAATCAAACAAAAGGAAAGGGTAAAAAAAAAAAGAAGGAAAGAATGCCAGGCCCAAGGCGGTTTCTTCCTGCTTTGGTTTTTCTTTGATCTCTTTCTCTTCTAGTGTTTGGCTTTCAGGTTCTTTGCCATTTGCCATTGTCTTTTACTGAAAGCTCTTCTAGTATTTTGCCAGCATGACTATTTTTGCCTGGTCCTGTTATCTTTTCTCTCACTCCTGTATTCAGATTTTGCTTTAAACTTATGGGCTTTAAATCTTCTGCATTTAGAAATTGAATCACCAGTAGTTCAGGCTTAGGACTTGAGGTTTTCTTGGTAAAGATACTGGAGTAGTTTGCCATTTCCTTCTCCAGGTCATTTCACAGTTGAGGAAACTGAGGCAAACAGGGTGAAGTGACTTGCTCAGGGTCACACAACTAGTAAATGGCTGAGGCTGGATTTGAACTAAGGTCTTCCTGACTCCAGGCCCAGAACTCTATCCACTGTGCTATCTAGCTGCTCTAAGAACAGCTTTGCTTGCATTTTAATTGTGGGCCATAGTTCAAGTCACCTGCTTTCTCAGTGGAGATATCATGCTTCTCAGAAGGTCCTTGGCAGTTGCCATCAGAGCTAGGGATATGGGTCATCTGTTGCTGATGTCTCCTTTCCCTGAGTTTACTTTAGTGCTACCCTTGTGAATCTGGTGCTCCCTCACACTTCTTAACCACGTGCTGTCTAGTTTCCACCCTGTCACTCAGCTGAAATTTTTTTTTTTTTGCAATCAGGGTTAAGTGACTTTCCCAGCTTCACACAGCTGGTAAGTGTCTAAGGTTGGATTTGAACTCAGGTTCTCCAGACTCCAGTATCCACTGTGCCACTTAGCTGCCCTGAAATTGCTTTCTAAGGATGATCAAAAATTTTGACAAATTGAGAATCCTTCCTCTAGTCCTTGTTCTAATGAATCTCTGTGGCCTTTGGTACCACTGACCACCTTCTCCACCTGCAGACCCATTCTGGGTTTCATAGCCTGATTGTCATTCTACCAGGCTACCAGTCTGACTTTCATTTACTAGATCTCTTCATTCTTATTTTATTTATTCATTTTGATGATCTTATCTTTTTCAATTTTGAGTTCCAGCTTCTCTCCCTCCTTCCCACCCCTTCCCATTGAGAAGTCAAACAGTGTATCAGTTATACATGTAAAATCATGCAAATCATATTTCCATATAACTGTGTTGCAAGACACAGCAAAAATAATTATACTTCACTTTGCACTCAGTCTTTCAGTTCTCTCTCTGGAGGTGGATAGTATTTTTCACCATGAACCTTTGGAATTGTCTTGGATCATCATATTGATCAGAGTAGCCAAGTCTTTCATAGCTGGCCATCATTGCAGCATTGCTGTTACTGTGCACACAATCTCCTGGTTCTGCTCACTACCTTTTGCCTCAGTTCATAGAGCTCTTACCATGTTTCTCTGAAACTAGCCCCACGGTCGTTTCATTTAGCACAGTAGTACTTCATCGCTCTCCCAGAGGAAGCCCAGATTTCCCTTTCTGCGCTGGGTGAGCTGTTTTCCTCCATTCCCAGTGGTGGTGGGCAGACACTGAGAGTATCGCTAACGTCTCCTGGGCCTTGCCACTGGCCCTATACTAGCCTTAGGACCCCGGCGCCTTTCCAGCCTCCCCGCAGCTCAGGTCTTCTACCTATGTTGTCTTCCTTAATTAGAGCATGTGTTCCTTGAGGGGAGGGACTGTCATGTTGTTCTGTTTCTATACCCAGCACTTAGGCCAAGGGCTCTTAGGTAAATGCTTTTTTGTTCGTGAATTTCTGATGTTTTATGGTGTTTGAATCGGAACAGAAGGCTTCACCCAGTCTTGAGACTTCTCTACACTACTCTTATTCCATTGCTTGACAGTCTTTTTAATGAATGTTTTCCATATTCTTTATACTTCTGTGGCTTCTTTCTAGCATGAATCTTCTGGTGTTTATCAAAGATTGAACTTTGAGTAAAAGCATTATCATTCATTACATTTCTGAGGCTTTCTGTTATCTGCTTCTTGATTTGGATCTAATGAGACTTTTTTTGTGTGTGAGTGTGTGAAAACATTTCTACTTTCATCACATTTATAAGACTTCTTTCTGTATGCATCCTCTGGTGTTTAACAAGGGCTGAGATCTCAGTGAAGGCTTTCCCATCTTCATTTAAAAGGCTTCTCTCCAGTCCACTCAATGTTGGGTCACGTGGTACTTTGGAGTGAAGATTTTCCTCCATTTGTTCCATTTATAAGGCTTCTTTCCAGTGGGAGTCAGTTATTATACAAAAGGGATTGAGCTGTCAGTGAAGGCTTTCTCACATTCACATTCTCACATAAGCTTTGAAGGCTTCTCTCTAGTCTGTTTGCTTTGATGTAGAATCAAGTGGACCTTTTTGGGGAAAGGGCCTATGTCACCTATGTTCATTACTTTTACCAGGTTTCTCTCTAGTATGTATCCTCCATTGCTTAAAAAAATATGAATATGTGTGTGTGTGTGTGTGTGTGTGTGTGTGTATCTCTGTCTCTCTCTGTGTGTGTTTATATGTGTATATATACATATATATATATAGTAATGGCTTTTCCACATTTGTTACATATATGATTTTTCTAGTATGTCTGTATTTATGTATGGTAAGGTTTTAGTCCTGTTTTAAGGTATTCCCACATTCCTTGTGCTTATAAGGCTTCTGTCTAGTTTGAATTATCTGATGTGCAATAACATTTGAGCATCGAGTGAAGATTTTCTCACTTTCATTATAATTGTAATTTTTTTCTTCATTTTGAATCTTATGGAGCTTAGTAATTTTTATCCTATTGCCCTCCTGCTCGACTTGTTACATCTTCTTCTGGCTCGACATGCCCCAAAGGTGCAGTAGCAGTGATTGACTATTGTGAATTTTTTAACTTTCACCCCATTGGATGATTCTCCTGATGTATTCACCCTTGGAGTTGCCTCTGGGCTCTGATTCCTAGGGTCTCAGTCTGCATGACTTTAACTGAAAGCGCAGATGTTTTCAGTTCTCTGAGCTTTGGTGAGGTGACACAGTAGAAAAGAGTTCCCAGGGAAAGGAAGCACGTGGTATCGAACACTCTCAAATTTGGCCGTATAGTGTGTGGACCTAGTGGGCAAAGGTGAGGGAAGGTGAGTGAGGAAGTATCTAAAGAGGTGTGAGAGGGGACTGATGTGTAAGGAAGGGGTGCCCAGGAGGTGAAGCAAAACCATTTGGGGAGACTGAGAGGCGGTCTTGAAGAATGGAATGAGAAAACTAACGTGCCTTTTGACGTGTGAGGGGTAAAGAGAGTTTAAGGGCAATGGATGAGATGATGGGAAAACGTCAGGAGAGCAGGCCTCCAGGGAAGCAGTCTGGACCAAGGGGCTCTTGTTAGCTAAGACCCTCGTATCCAAAAAGAAGAGAACATTGATAGGGTTTGGAATCAAGGCTGAGGTTAAATCTGAACCCTGTTGCTCTGTCCATGACCTTGGGTAAATAACAGACTAGACACGGGACAATCAGAAAGAATAGAACCCAATGCCACAGAGTTCAATAAACTCAAAAGCAGAAATTTCTTAGAGAGACCAACCTGTTTGGTGACTGCTGGGAAATCTGGAAAGCAGGCTGTCAGTAATTTGGCTTCTGCCAACAAAGTATGCCATAGGCCTTATACAAGGCCAGAACGTTAAACATGATACCATTAAAAATTAGAAGCATATCAACATATCTTCTAAAGCTTTTGGTAGGAGATACGTTCTTAATTAAACAAGAAATAGAGGCAATTACAAAAGATAAGATATAATTTTGATTACATGAAGATGGAAAGTTTCTGTACTTACGACCATCAAGGATAAGAGGGAAAGTGATTGAATCAGGGGAAAAACCCTCTGCCTGTCAGATATCTCAGATAGAGGTTTGGTATTCTAGATGTATAGAGAACTGAGTATGATCATAACATGTGTATGGATGCCCATGCATGCATGTATACATTTTGTTCAGTCATCTCAGTCATGTCCGACTCTTCATGAGCTCATCTGGGGTTTTCTTGGCAAAGATACTGGAGTGGTTTGCCATTTCCTTCTCCAGCTCATTTTACAGATCAGGGAACGGAGGCAAACAAGATTAAGTGACTTTCCCAGGGTCATACAGCTAGGAGGTGTCCGAGGTTGGATTTAAACTCGGGTCTTCCTGATTCGAGGCCCAGCATTCTATCTGCTGTGCCACTTAGCTGCCCACATGCATACGTATGTGTAGGTATACACCAAGTGTCATTTCTTGACAGATAAATGGTCAAAGATATAAACAGTTCTCTGCTCCCAAAATAAATTTTGCAAACTATAAATGACCA